TACAGATTTCTATCAACAAGCGCATATCAATATTTCATTGTATATTTACATATCAATTAAATTACATATAAGCAAACAGTACATACCCTTAATTAATTAATGTTAATGTAATTAAAATTAATATATAAATATATTTTTTTTAGTTTTTAAAAAATTTTATTTTAATGTAAAAATGAAAAAAATTAATTGAAGATAAAATTAAAAATAATTTTGAGAAAAAATAGTGAAAATTTGAGTTATGGGGGGTGTTTTTGAATGTGGTTTTTGCAATTTTCTGCGGCGGCGCCGTCGGGTTTTATCGATAGTTTTCGGCTAATCCGCCAGTCTTTTTACTCTAATTTGGCCATGAGGGTGTTTAAAATTGAATTTCGAGTAAAGAAATTTTTTTTTATCTCTTTTGATGGTTGGAAGTGGTTTCGGCACGGCGTTGGTGGCGGTCGACTTCTTTCTCGGCGGCTGGGTCTTTTTCTCCAACAAGGGGGAGCTCTAGCGGTTAGGGTTAGAGTTTGATGTGAATATGGTTATTTATATTCGTTCCATTTTAATCTGAGCTGTCTATCGCGTTTGATCTGTACCGTCTGATTGCATTTAAATAGGAAGTAGATCTGGACTGTTCATCGCCTTCAAATCTGACTGTCCGATCGCTTCTGGGGAGAGAACAGATCCGGACCGTCCGTACGCATAGGAACGAATCTGGACCGTTTAATCGTGGGCACGCAGATGGCCAGCATGGCCTCCCGCGTGGCACCGACGTCAGCGTGCCTTGTCATACGGCGCACTCCGGTTCGTCGAGGTTGCTGACTGGGCAGTTCTACGTAACTAAACTTTTTCTTTTTACATTTTGGTATTCTGTTTCTAAATTTTCTTTTAAAAAATATTTCTCGAACTTAAATTTTCACTCATTTTTTTAAAATAATTTTAAATCTCGTCCTTAATTTATTTTTTCTCAAAATTTTAATTAAATAAAAATAAATTTAAAAAAATTAAAAATAAAAAAAAAAATATTTCGAACCATTTTTTTGAGTCCGGGTACTTTAGATATAAAAATATAGTTTAAGTCCTTCTCACTTATTTTTTCATCCAGACTTCATTTATTTTTCACATCGTTAAACTACTTTTTTTTTGTTTTTGTTTTTATATTATTTTTTATGTTTGATTTGGTTTTTATCTTAACTTTTTGATCAAATTAGTTATTATAATGTCAAAAAAAATTGTTTGAATTAGTCAATTTTCAAACAATTTTAATATATTAACACATTTTAATTAATTTTTTTTTGTATTAAATGTCATATGATATTTAATATAAAAAAATTAAATAAAAATTAATCTAAATAAATCTTAAAATAAATAAATAAATAAAAACGAATTGTTTGAACCAATTCAGATGAGTTTACATTTTTTTTTTTTCCCCACATAATATATAATATGAAAAATTATCCAACTAAAATATATCATGTACCAATCAACAAAACGTAACAGTAGTTAATTGAACTACCCTCTTCATTTACTGTATTAAAAAATTATTAGTTCATAACCTAATTGCTCCGAATTCAATTGGAACTAATTAATGTTCATACATACATCACTCTCTAGTTGACTAATTAAATCATACCGTTTACTATTATCTTAAATTTGACCATTAAAACTTGGTTGGAAGTTGAGAGATGGCTTTCTTTTCAATTTTATTAAACCAACATTATAAGTCATTTAAGGCTTCTTTGAAAAGATTGTACGGGACATGGAGTTTACAAAAGGAAGATAAATATACGGATGTCCTCATAAAATAACTCAAAAGTGATAAACCTTACATTCATGTACGTTATAAAAGTGTATATATATATATATATATGTATATTTGCCTACCAACGAAGTAGAATAAAAGTGTGAATAGTTATATGGGTGGTTCATGCAGTATCATAAGTTGATTCTTTATATGAAGTTTCATCACTATTAATTAATTGTCAATATAATATTTCTCATATAAATAAAGTTTAATTCAATTCTCAATCAATTAAGGGTTTGTTATTTACTATTCTTTTAGTTATTAGGTTAATTAATTAACATACTATTATTGTAATTTTTTAAATAAATTCATATATTTATTAAAAAAAAGTAATATATATATATATCAATCATCATAATTTAAAGGTTAAATACTGTGAAACTTTCATAAATGTGCACCTAATGCAAAAAAAAAATAATAATAATAAATCTTATTATTTTATTATGTATGTTTATATATATTTATTCATTACTTATTGACGAGTAGTGAGTATTTTCCACAATGCCAAAAGTCATACATATATCTTAATGATATGAGTGGGAAATAATTAATTATGCCATTTTGCAATTTGCAAGTATAATAATGACACATGTTCTTTTTTTTTTTTTTGTGCTCATTTGTTTCAGCAGGAGGATTATGCTTTTGAATTGAGTTTTAATTATATAGTTTATTATTAAAAAAATTAATTAATGGGGCCTAATTATTATTGCCAAACCATATGATATAATTAATATTATTGAACTGTATGCTTTATGAAGGTACAGATTCATGCATGTACTTTAAATGAATGCTTGAAAAATGATTCTTTACCAACTCTGGTTGTAGTTGAATATCTTTGCTTCTTCAATTGCAAATTCAAGTAAACCGTGCGATAAAACAACTCAAAGTCGTCCATATTCGAGTTCTTCAACTGATATATATATATATATATATTGATATATTATTTATTGGTGAGAGTTGACCTCATTAAACGAATATTATAAATCTTTCTTCATTTTTACGACTTGTAGCTTCTCATCATAGTCATATATACATATATAATGTCTGTATCTGTGTAGTTAATCAAACGTTTGACATTTTCCAAGAGAAAAACAGAGGCTATTTATTATAATTTAGTCCCTATTATTTTTTAATTTATTTTAATTATTTAATTTCAATATATTTTTAAAAGAATAATTAAAATAGTTAATTCGCATTTAAAAATTTTATAAAAATAATTTTAATTAATCAATAAATTAAATAATCATAAAAAATAAGCCTATTATGATTATTAACTTATTAGTTAAAATAATTATTTTGACATGCTTTTAAAATTGTAGCTTTAATAGTAATAAATAACTATTATAGAAAATCACCACGTTAATAAATTGTAACTTTAATAGTAATAAATAATATAAGTTGTCCAAATATATATATATATGTGTGTGTGTGTGTATGAAGTAGTTGTCCTCACTATCCGCTCCTCAGATCAAGAATATGCAGAAGAGTCACTTGCACAGTCTTTAAAAAAAATTTCTTTTTCAAATAAATTAAGTATAAAAATTATTATTAACTATATTAATTAATTTAATCACGTAAAATGTTTAATTAGTTTAATTTAAAATAAATTTATAAAAAGTAGCATAAAACACGATATGTACTTCAAGAATATTATTATATAATATTCAGGTCCGAAAAGCAATTCAAAATAATTTTTTTAATTAAATTATTTTATTATAATAATTATTTATTTAATTAAAATTTTGAGAAA